CTAGCTGTCTTTTTATAGTAAATTAGGCTAGAAGACATTTAAGAGAAGCTATCCTTAGAAGCCCGCCTTAAGAGTCTACGAGAGGAGCTAATAGCACGTAGGAGGAAGGAGACGTCTATAGCTAAAAAGAGGAATTAGGACTTATTCTTCTTAAAGGCCCCCTTTTTAGGGACTTATCCTTAGAGAAGCCCCCCTTTCTTATAGGACTTAATTTCCTCTTTAAGGCCCCTTTTCCTAAAGTAGGTCTAAAAGAGCCTAGGGCTAAAACCCGGATTTCTCGAGTAGGGGATAAGTATAGACTAAGACCTCCTCTATACGCTTACCGGCCTAGGTATTTAGCTTTACCCTTTCTATAAGGGCAGGCTATAGCTAAGGGGGTATATCGCGAAGCGTGGCCTAATTTCGTAGTTCTCGGAGATATCCCTTAGTATAAGGGACTAAGGAAGCTAAAAAATAGGTTTTAAGGAAGGAGCTAAAAGGAGGTATAGAGAGGAGGGTAGGGGTAAGAGGGGAAGTAGAAGTAGCGATAGCTTCTTATAGAGGTAGCGAAAGATAAGACGGATATACCGGTAATAGCTAGAAAAGAAGGAAAAAACCGGTAAAAAGTTTAGTAGTTAAAATAATATTAGTAGCTTCTTTAAGTAAGATCTTCTTTATTAATTAAGATACTAGATAGGTATAAAGAGGGGCGTTAGATAGAGGAAAGAAGGATAATTAAGGAAATATAATAATTACTCTCCTACCTTTATTGCTGCTCCTATAAGAATTAAATCTCTCTACCTTACTTATCCGACCCCTTACTTTTAATTTCACCGTCGTGCATTTTTATATACTTCTTATATCTCTCTTCGCGAGACTTCTATATACTAATATACTACTAATAAATCCCGTTAAAATTCCTACCTTATACCCTTTCTTCCCCTCTATTTATCGCGAAGCGTGGCCTGATTTTATAGTTCTCGGAGATATCCCTTAGTAAGAGGGAACTAGGAAGCTAAAAAACAGGTTTTAAAGAAGGAGCTAAAAAGAGATATAGAAAGGAGGGTAGGGGCATAAGGGGAAGCAGAAGTGGCGATAGCTTCCTATAGAGGTAGCGAGAGATAAGACGAATATGCCGGCAACGGCTGGAAAAGAGGGGAAAAACCGGTAAAAAGCTCGGTAGTTAAAAGGACATTAGTAGCTTCTTTAAGCAGGATCTTCTTTGTTAATTGAGATGCTAGACGGGTATAAAGAGAGGCGTTGGATAGAGGAAAGAAGGACAATTAAGGCAATACAACAATCACTCCCCTACCTTTATTGCTGCTCCCGTAAGAATCAAATCCCTCTACCTTGCCTGTCCGACCCCTTACTTCTAATTTTACCTTCGTGCATTTTTATGCACTTCTCGCATCTCTCTTTACGAGACTATTATATAGTCTTATATAATTCCTTAATTTCCTAAAATTCCGCTATTACTTATATACCTTAAGAAGAGATAAGATAGATATACCGGTAATAGCTAGAATAGAAGGGGAAACCTAGTAAAAAGCTCGGTAGTTAAGAGGATATTAGTAGCTTCTTTAAGTAGGATCTTCTTTATTAATTAAGACGCTAGAAGGATATAAAGAGGGGCGTTAAATAGAGGAAAGAAGGATAATTAAAGCATTATAATAATTACTCCCTTACTATAATTACTACCCTTATAAGAATTAAATAACTTTGCCCTACCTATCTAACCCCTTACTTTTAATTTTACCTTTATATAACTTATATATACTTCTTATATCTCTCTTTATAAGAGTATTTATAGAATTTCTATATAATTTCTAAGGCTTTCTTTATATTAAAAAGGCTCTCTTAAAGATTTATCTATATTATTTATTCTTTTAGCTTTATTTAAAAGGCTAGCTATAATAGATCTTAAGGTAAATACTATAGAGTTATACTTTAAGCTCTATATAATATTTATAATATAGCTTCTAGATTCTTTATTAAGGTAATTAAGAATCTATATTATAAGAATAACTTTTAGAATTTCTATATTTTCCTTTATCTTATAAAAGTATTCTTTAAATAAAAGTTTAAGGGACTAAGATTAAATAGCTACTTAATAAGTAAATAACTTAATAAAACACTTAATAGATTATATAGCCTTTTAAGCTTATCTTATACTTCTTTAGTATTTTTTACACCGACTTTATATTAAAGGACTATCCTTAAGTTAAAGGAATACTATAAATAAAGCTTCTATAGTCTATATATAATTTACTTACTTTAGAATAGTAATAAGCTTTTCTTTTATAAGGATAGCTTTTATCCTTATAGTTTATAAGTTATAATTTAAATTTTCCTTAAGTTTAGTAAATTTATATTCTTTCTATTTATATTTTTATATAAATTTAGTATTATTTTATTTATAGGGATTAAGAAGTTTAAATAGTAGTTTTAGAGCGTAAGAGCTTTAAAGAAATGAGGGGAAAGTTTAAGAGGAATCTTAATCGGATATTTTAAAGAGAAATTTTAAAGGTAGAAGTAGTTAGTTTACTAGCTAGCTTAAAGGAAGTAAGCTAAGCTTATAACCTTTTACGGTATATAAGTAATAGTACGAATTTAGGGAATTAAGCAATTATATAATACTATATAATAAAAGGGAAGAGGGAGTATAAGGTAGGATTTTAATAGAATTTATTAATAGTATATTAGTATATAAAAGAAGTCTTAAAGTTAATAATCCTTTTTTTATTTACTAGTAAATATACTACCTTACTATATTATATCTTTAAGGTTATAGAGCGTAAACCTTAATATTTCTAGTACTTTTTTAGATACTATATATATATTCCTCTAAAGAAGTTCTATTTTTAGGCCTTTTTAAATATCTACCCGTTAGCTTTAGCCGTGTCTTAATCTACTTAGTCTTTAAAAACCTTTTTAGGTTAATATAAGTCGGGCCGTAAGCGTTAATTTAGGTCTTAGCCGAAGCTATATAAGTAATGTTCGAGAATTTAGATAACCCCTAACTAAAGGCTAGCGGTGCCTTTAGTCTTTTTCTATCTAGGCTAGCGTTGGTGAAGTCCTACCGCGTGGCGACTTAGCTAAGGTCGGCTTCCGGTATTAGGATAGGCAGATGGTCTCTTTTATATGCCTCTTATGAGTGTTATATTTTGCCTTTCCTGGCACCTATGAGCAGCGGAATTGCAATTAAGAGAGCCCGACTTCCACGCCTATATTTTTCAAACAATGCGCGTGTGACCGAGAAAGACAAAGCAGTAAGCAAAGCCCAAACCACCGCACTAGTCGAGAAAATCGAGATCCTGCTAGAGGCCGACTACACGTATGGGAAACATAAGCGGAATCTGCACTTGAATCATGAACCACATACAGCCAACGCAAGCATCCCCGCCTGCTGCTACACGAAAAAGAAAACAATCAAGTTAAAGGACGCCGGAGACAAAATGCGGGACGTATTCGGGGGCTTCACGGAAGACGGCCGGGACCGTTGGAACACGTTCACGATATTACGAGTCATGTTTTGATAATGAGGCGTAGTCAAAATGATTTTTGCAAGGATCGGTAAACTTGACACGCGCACGCGTTAGCAAAATGTTGTTCCAAGTTTCGCTTGTTCAGCTCGTCCATAGTGAGGCAAACAGGTCCGGTACCAGTGCCGAGACTTAGCGGCAGAGGCCAGCCATGTCTTAGTTCCCCTCGAGCAGATTGCCCCTGGTCTCCTGAGCCTGACGTGTCTTTGCTCGCCCTGCCTCATTTAGGAAATCTGATTCCAAGGAGGCTGCATACTCCGCACAGTAGCTTGACAGGGGTATCTAGGCATAGCCCCTCTGCTTACAGTCAAGACTCGGTCTAAGCGCGATGCCTCCTTTTGGATGGCTGCTGGTCGGGACGGATCGCTTCCGGCTTTTTGTGTCTTGGTGCTCGAGCCAGCCGCGGGCAGCTTCTTTTGCAATTCACCCACGCTCCCCCAGTCCGCTTGGATCGGTCCTGGCCGTTCGTGAATAAGGAGAGAGGGGGGATTTGATCTGAGTGGGTGAAAAGAAACGCCCAAGTCGCACGTCTAAGACTCATCCTCGCAGAGTAAAAAGCAGCTGTGTTCGAAGCCAATTTCGTACCTCTCACGCCTCCATCAAGGGGTTTATCTGATTCACGAAGACTGTGGCCTTCCGCGCCGCTACTTTGCAAGTCTTGTCTACGAAGTACACGTAACAGCATTGCTGCATCTATTCATCGTGCCTTGGCGATATAAATGTAAAAATATCCGTTCTTTTTTAGATCCTCACTGGCTAGTAAGCGGATCATCTCGCTCGAGAGTCCTTACATCAGCCTTGACTGCATGTGGAGCGTCAGCCGCTAGGGCTATGGCGGTGTTTCCAAAGGCAGTTTTCCATTTGTTTGTAGTAGACATCTACCATGGGTAACCTCCGGGTGGCTTACAGTTGCGTCGAGCTGAGAAGCAGAGATCTACTGTTCAGTTCGTTTTGTCGCAGACACACCGTTTCTCTCCGGCTATTTCCACATCATCCGCCCGCCTTCCCCCTTCAATGACAGGGGGCGGGTAGCAGCTCACTGCATGACCTTTCGTTTTTGCTTTGTTCTTCGAGGGCTTTGGCGTACACGTCACCCCCTGGGGAAGGGTTGGATGTCTTAGCGGTGACTCGCATTTTTCCCTTGCTTAGACGTATACTGCAGCTAAGCACAGTTCCCTGCGCTTGACTGTGCACTTCAATCTCCGTAATAGCCGCAGCGGCTTCTTCGAGGCACTCTCGGATTGAGAGGAAGCAAATTTCGGATTCACACAGCCCAGACGCTCGAATGTCAGTGGTGAGGCCCTCGGACCGTGGTCGAGTTCCAGGGGGACGGGCTCGAGTACAAATATCGCTGGTTCCCCCCCCGATCAAAGTAGAATCATCATCCACTTCTCATCATCACATTCATTCACTCATCAACCATCTACTCAACACTCCTCTTCCAGTTACTCTTTTTCAACTCCTCTTCCACTCTTCAAGATGAAGTTCATTGCTGCTGCCACCCTTTTCCTTGCCTCGGCTCTGGCCGCGCCCATTGCTGGCAAGGACGGGTACAAGGACTTCGGCAATTACGATGGCTACAAGAACAGCTACGGCGGCGACTATGGCTACGGCGGCGACTACAAGGTCGGCGGCTATGGCAACGACCACTACAAGAGGGGCGATTACAACGACTACGGCCATGATGATCACTACAGGAACGGCTATGGTGGCGACTATGGCTATGGCGGCGACTACAAGGTCGGCTATGGCGGCGGTAACTACAAGAGGGGCGGTGACAACTATGGCGGCGACTACAACAACGGCTACGGTGGCGACTACAACAACGGCTACGGCGGCGAGTATGGCTATGGCCGCGGTTACAACAGGTACGGTTATGGCGGCGACTACAAGAACGACTACGGCCACGGTCAGTACAAGAGGGGCGGTGACAACTATGGCGGCGACTACAATAATGGCTACGGCGGCGACTACGGCTATGGCGGCGACTACAACAAGCACGGCTATGGTGGCGACTACTACAAGAAGCAGTAGAATCGTTCCCATACTGCTCTCACTGGCGGCCATTGTCTCGACCCGCTTGGCTCCGCCTCACCTTGCCATGGCAAGGATTCAAGGGTATTAGTTTGTACATGTTAGTCCGTACATGATTGGATCGGGTTCTACCTGAGCGTCTGTAAAAATGACAGCATAATCGAGAGCCACATAGTTGCGCAAAGTCTGCAGTATCTTCATGCCTCGTGAATTTGGCGCGTTGGTTTCGATCTACGTAAGCTTGGCCCGCCACTTTGAGCGTCCTGTAAGGGGGGCTTCCCGAGATTTCCACAGCAAAATCGTCGCTGCTTCTTCCGCCGGGGCTGGGTAGGATTCATGAAGACTTTCAGTCCGACTATCCCCCGTTCGCTCCTATAATAATAATAATAATAGAAAATCTGCTAGCATTACATGGAGTGGACCAATTCTCGGTTGAGTATCCGCAAATGTCCAAGACGATGTCCAACGGGTATGCACCGCGGGCCACGTTCAATTCGATGTCTACTTGAGTCAATTGGCTTTTTAAAAAGGCGATTTCCTCCCCGACTCCACTACTCCGTAAGTAGGGAGAATACTTCTCACTAAGTGAAGCCTGCCTCGAGTGGTTGACGTGCCCCTGATTCCAGTGATAACGCAATCCTGGGATTCCAGGACACCAGGACTTTGCCATTACGAAGTGGCAATCTGCCCAACTCTGTGCAGCAACCCAAATTACATCTTGCTTGGTGCCATTATGTACGCAGCGATCAACGGGCTGCTTTTTCCTTTTAGTGACGTGGGGAGATGGGCGGCTCTGCTCGCCCGCTCTCCGATCACGACGTTTTACCCTCAAGGCGGGTCCGTTTCAGCGCTTATAACGTGAATTCCGACCTATTTGTTAATGGATCTTGACTTCTTGTCCGGGAAACGGCCGTGACTTTGTTTGCCTTGGCGGTGTCCTTCCCCTTCTGGCCGGTAGCCGCCATTATTGGTGCCTTGAGTGTCATTTTACCTATCCAGGGGCATTTCCCAGCGCTGGGCAATCTTTTGTTGAGGTTCCAGCTCCACTGCTCCAGCGACTTTTCCATTGGGGCCCCGACTGGCAATGGCCGTTATTACTGATATCCCCGTCATTAATCAGCTGACGCCACGCGAGGATGGATTTCTTAGGACTTCACCACTTCCGGCGTCCAGCCTGAAATGAGGAGCTCAACAGCAACGACGGGTGCTTTAGGCCATTTTTTCTCGCATATCAGACCCTTTTTTGGAACCGCCTCGCTCTTTCAATGACTTCTCACGAGGAAGCAAGTATCGGCGGACAGGATGCTGAACAAGCCGTGAACATGAAGACAAAGAGCCGAGTATCGATGGCGTGCACCATTTGTCGCGCTCAGCACCTACGCTGCGACGCTGCTCTGCCGACATGCTCGCGCTGTCACTCGCTCAACAAGAAGTGCATGTATACCAACCTGCGGCGGGGCCGCCGGAGGGAGTTGAACCGAGGAGGGGCGAGGAAACCGGGGCCTCGGAGCGATGAAGACGGCGCCGGCTTCCCGGCTCCCGCCACCAGTCGGCATCGCGAGGCACAGACTCTGGGATCCTCCTTTCCTCTGGCCGTCGAATCCTCCCCGCGGATCACGGCTTCCGGGACCAACAGCCTGGCCACCAGCACGGCCATTGATGGATTCTACGCCTACTTCTTCAAGGGACACCCGTTTGTGCTGCCTCGACCCCATCTCATGTGCCAATATGACGGAGACCCCGCAACAGTCGCAAGTTTGGCCGTCATCATGAACTTGATTGGCTCGTTGTACGTCCACGATGGCCGATCGGGCATGTACCGGCAGGACGCAGAACGGGTCCTGCAGAAACAAATGCCGTCCAACGGCTTCAGTGTTCAAGCTCTCTTGCTCTTCGCCCTTGTTTCGGAATGGAGCGGCGAGAGTGAGAGGGCGGATGCGGTTCTGGAGCGCGCCAAATGCATGGCACTGGCCATATCGCTCAACCGCCAGGCTTTTGCGGTCGATCACGGCCAAGGAGACGCCGTCTTGGAGGAGAGCTGGCGACGGACCTGGTGGGAGCTCTACGTTGTCGACGCTCTTTTTGCTGGCATTCGGCACTGGCCAACCTTTTCCATGTGGACTGTGGATGCTGATGTCGATCTCCCTGGCGAAGAGGTGTGCTACACGGAATCCGTGAGTGTTGTCTTGGGTGCGTAAAACCGGGTCGAAGCTAATTGCATGGACAGAGCATTCTTCCTCCACGGACACTGACGGAATACGACAACCGTGGGTTCGAAGACTGCGAGAAGGACTTTTCGTCCTTTACATATCTCATCGACGCGACTCGCATACTCGGAACGTCGCTGGCTGCTGGAGACATCGCCGGTGGATCGCCGTCGTCGCTCGTCAAGAATGCAGAAGCAAACATCATGAGCTGGCACCTGCACCTCCCGCAAAGCAAGCGAGATCCGGTCCGTGTCGACGGCACCGTCGACGAGGTTCTCTTCCGGGCTCACATGGTGATCAACACGTACGTCTCCTCAATCCCTATTGCTGCGAATCATCGTTGATGAGCTCGACTGACCTGCTGCAGAGTGGCCACGCACCTTCACAGACCGAGGTCCACGCTTCACTACAGCACAATGGAGCTGCTGTGCTCCAACTATGCGCCGCCATTACCTGCCGAGGTCGTCCCTCCCGAGGAGAAGCACTACGACAGGCACACGCATAAGGCGATCCGTGCGGCCATGACCTTTGTTGACCTGCTCACGGTGCCCACGTCGCCGACGAGCCACAGCCCGTTCGTCATGTGCATGGGCTCGCTGGCGATGGCGACGCACATGTCGGCATGCGAGCACCATCTGAGGGGCGTCGAGCATGCTCGCGCCAAGGACCGCGTCCGCGTCTTTCTCGGAATCCTCAAAGCTTTCGAGGGCATATGGTTGCAGGCGTCAAAGTGGTCCGGCGAGATCAAACTTATGGCCAAGGCCGTGTTTGAGATTCGAGATGCACATGGGAACCTCATGTTGGGCCCTCTCGGCGCGGTTCCGCAAGTGGGCGACGAAACTTTCCCCAGTTCGCGTGTTGAGTACCTAGATGTTACACCCTCCGGCAGCTCTCTAGATGCCATGTTAGATGACGTGACTTTTGACAATATTGGAGACATCTAGATGGGAACAGTTCTGAGACACGCGTACATCTGGAGGATGTCGAAGAATACTCAGCCCTCGAGGAGCGAAGATGATTTCTGTTATTCCTGCCTGTCCCCTCCGCCCGTCGGTGGGTCACCGGGCTTCGAGGCTTCGTCGACGAAATACAATCTTCACCGCCAGAGGCTTGGGAGTCATGACGACGGCATCCGTGTTATGAACCGACCGGTCTCGGCTAGGAGACAAGTAGGTGAGAATCTGCCTGGTTTCTGAGCTCCTGCAAGCCGGCATGGTTCGGGGCGATGCTAGACGAACGACTCGGCGCGTAAGAGCTGGCTTGAGAGCTCAGCGAGCACGATACTAGCTTCGCTTACATGACCGGGAACGACAGGTTGTCTCCAATTTGGCAGATCGGCGGGCTCAAAGATTGCTTCCCAGGCACTCAAAGTCGGGATGGGCCGTGTGCGGCGCGGCGATGGAACAGGTGTAACTCAGTTGGCGGCCATGATTTTCGTCGGCGCTGAGAATGGCACAGGCGTCGTCCACAACGGACATTGGGCCACTTTACACATCCATGCCCCGAGGTTCAACGATGCGGCCATGTTGTCCTCCGTGGGCTCCCGGCTCGAGGTGTCGACTTTGATGAGAATACCCAGTGCTTTGGGGTTGATTAATGGAAACAGTGCACCGTACATGCCAGTCTGGTCTTGTGGTGTCTGGATGTCCTGTTCTCATCCGAGTACACATCGTTCTCTCCTGTATATTGTGATGCTGACAGGAAGCCGGTCCCGGGCATCCGACCCAGGCGGCTTTCCCGAGCGCATGCGGCCCGAAGTACTGAAGGATACTTGAGCTTCCAGCACTTGATGGGCGAAACACAGGTACTCCCGCGTATTCGGGCTTGGCGTTCGGGTCATTCGGGAAGCCGGTTGCTCGCCGCCTTGTCGTGCGACCCGAACGGGCTTCCTGCTCCAATTAGCGGAGATTCTGGACTTGCTTGACCCGAATTTGTGCCTTTCAGTCCAATGCAATGCGCCTCGTCGTGGAAAGTATCGGCCTGCGCGACTCAACGTCCATCCGTGTCTTGGGTTCCTTTGGGGCGCCGCTCGGTGGCCAAAGCAAAGGTATATAAGGGGGCTTACACGACCTCCTTCGAGGCACAACACATTCAAGTCACTGCTCACCTTGCTAATATCTGCTCTTCCTTTTATCCTATCTTTTCTACTTATCAACTGTCCAACATGGCAGTTAATCAGGCCGCCCAAGGCTCGCAAGTAGCACCCTCGTCTTGACGCAAGTATCAGCACTAACACCTCCCAGGCTCCGACCAAGAGAGATTGGCGAGGTCTTGTTCGACTACGAACTTCAGAACGCGCCCGGCAAATCAATCATTGGCCTGCAGCTGGTACTCCCGCCCAACGGCTGGACCCCGCCGCACCGTCACGGCGGCGCCCAGGTCGTGGCCGTCATCCAGGAGGGCGAGATGCTGAGCGGCATGAACGGCAACCCTCCCAAGGTGTACAAGCCAGGCCAGACGTTCATGGAGCTGCCCGGTTGCCACCACACCGTCGGAGACAACAACAGCAAGGACGAGCGTTGCAAGTTCATGGCCATAATGGTCGTTGACACCGACGTTGTGAAGAAAGGGGGCTATAAAGCATTGACGGTTCTCGATGAGGGTTGGTAGTCGGAAAGTGAGATGGAAAGAGAGGCAGTACGACAGCTGGCCACTCCTACCAGTTGCATTCTTTATTTATGACGAATATACCGTCTTCGCTCCCCAAAGGCACAGAAGAGTCTTGCCAGTGAAGACGAAGAAGCAGTTCTTTGCTGAGCAGAATGACCCCGTCAAATGCAATGCTGGGTGGACTTTGATAGCAGCATCCGCTGTTTCGGGCCACGGCTCAATATGGGAGAGGGTCTCACGGTTTTACCGACGCTATGCTTTGACTACTTGCTCGTGCCCGGCCGTAGTATATATGTGTGCGTGCGCGCATAGAATCGTTCGTTGTCCAGTGAAATGCCAACACCACGGACCACACGTGAGTCTTTATTCAATGGTAGTTCCTGTCACTTACCGACGAGGCGTAAGCCCAAAGCAGGCTGGACGATTCCACTGCGATCCGAAACATCGGGAGAAGCTCGAAACACTCCATGTACTCGAGACTTATCGTGATCCATGTCGTAAGCTGGCCCAGTGCTCAATTTACCCACGCCATAGTACGCAGCTATCTTACCTTTCGGGCCAAGAGCACTAGTCAAAGGGTAGCCGTGGGCAAGCGGCTGGAACTGAGCTCGAATATAAACAAGCAGAGCCACCTCAAGAGCTCAAGCGTTGCAATCGATTAGCTCGTAAGTGGGAAAACTTTGCCCCTTTAATAGGCCCTTGACCAAGCAATTAGTATGATATGGGCCGTACTGCTTCCATCGTTTCACATTTATCGCTCGAGACAATGCTTACCCTCTTGGATAATGAACGAATCTGACTATGTACGTATAATAGTTAAGCACAAGACTGTATTTACGGGCCTACCTGGTTCTCCAGTCACCTCCTTCCTCAGGGGGGTATACGCCTACTGAGTCGGAGATTCCGGCAACTTCGTTGGCGGCAAAGAGGTTCCCCGGTGGATAGACAGATGGGCCTGACGTCGCATTACACGTCTCGCCTATATGTAATCCGGGCCTCCCCACTGGCTACGCTGATTCAGTTCGTATTGGGTATCAGATTATGAACCACCATGAGGAAGGAGTAAGCAGCTCCGTTCGCACGGCCACCATGGATCCAAGCGAAGACGTCAAGCCTGTCCACCTCTTACCGCAACTGCAGCTGCTGCGTCCTTCTAAAACCTGCATATGCATGCAGCATGGGTATTTATTCATTATTGGGCCTTTTGAAGCACTCTATAGGCCAGGCTGAGCGCGAAGAGGCCTGCGGGCTAAACACTGAGTCTTCCTGTCTCCTCGGCGGTCTACGTTCTTGACCGTACAACGCTTCGACGGTCCATGCCATCCACATAAAAAACAAAGATGGCAATCGGGCCCCATTTTCACTGTCCTACAGCTATAGACAGAGTAAGCACCATTGTGGGCAAGCTTCATCATCATATCGACGTCGGGAGCGCGCTTTTATTTCGGGAGGACGATGATGTTTGGCAGGCGTGCCGTTACCGTCGGCGCTGGGGCATGCGGATATCGACTCGGAATCTGTCTTCATCACCTGTCTGCTGGCACTGTCATCATATACTCAGGTAAGCATCAGACCACGTTCGGCTTACGGAGAGAGTTGCTGCCACCAACAAAGGCCTCCTTGAAATGCCATGGTTCCACGACATCCAGCACCACCTTGTAGGCATCAAGTTGGGTATGGATGCGTGTTCAACTGGCCATGGCTCTGACCCTCTCATCCCACTTGCTCTCGCAACCCTCCACGGACATGCAGGCAAGTTCGGCGTTTAGGGCACGCGATTCGCAAGAACTTGTCTCTTCGTGCAGGCAGCGTCCAGTGAGAGCAGCCGCCTTGGATATCAGACGTCGCGTCGACAACGCCACTCCAACCGTAGACTTCCATGTGGCACACATATATACTTGAAGAATAAATCACGCCGTGGCCTGCACGCAGGCCGCAGATCGTCATCCCGTATCCAGTACGGAGCACGACGTTAATCCGTCTCGACTCTCTACGATTCGCATGCACCCATCGGCAGACTTCTCGCCCATTTGGCGAGGCTTTTCGCGCCTATGCAGCGTCTTCTGCCTTCCTCATCGGGCTGCGTGCCGCTGAATGATCAGTCCGTTGCATTCGACGCGAACACGGCCAAATGACACACCAACCAAGGCTCATGTCACTGACTTACAGGTTATCACCATGGCTCAAGCTTGGCCAGTTGCGGGCAGCTCACGTCGAGTCTTATCTCGGCGGTCATCCCGCTTTTGATTCCAACCTTTCTTGGAGATCTTCGCCGCCAGAATCATCGCCTAATTCTTTCCCCCTTGCCAGAAAGCCAAAAGCACTCAAAGAACCTACGCAAGACAATCTCCTTGGGTTGACTGCGCTACCGATTCTTTTAGGGTAATATAGCCACTCAACATGAATATCTTGGACTGGAGCGGCAGTGAGGACTCCACAGTCGCAGAACTCGACGTCGTTGCTGGGGACCATCTCCCGCCCAGCGAAAAATGGAGCACGGAGATCTCACGCGACCTGGCAACGAATCAGTTCGTGGGCGAGATCATCGGACTTGGACGAGAGGACCGGCATTTAACAATTGACGGCCGGCCAGTCGATCCTCGCGAGATAGAGGACGCCGTCAAACAAACCCTTGGCCACGTCAGGAGCGTCGTGGCAAGCTTGGTGGTACCCACGGAAACTACCCACAAGCCTTTGCTCGCTGTTGCCATGGAACTAAAATACGACGATGTTGTCGAACTTGACTCGCGGGTGAATGCAGTAGGAACAGCACTGCTTCCCATCTCCGCCGAGCTGAGGGGGCCTCTGCTTCGACTGAGGGCCTCTCTCTCCGACGCCCTGCCATCCCACCTGGTGCCAGAGCTTTACCTCCCTGTCACCAAGTTTCCACTACAAATCTCGGGGGAGGTGAACTGGGATATGCTCCGCCAGTCTCTGGAGAGCCTTGCAGAGAACGAGGTGTCTAACTTCGCCTTGGCCGACTCGAAGAAAAGCCCTCTCGTTACCGAGACAGAGAAGAGGCTGCAGTCGCTGTGGGCAGCAGTCCTCGGAGTGGAACAGGACCGGGTCGGCACCCATGACTTTCCCGACTGGCGCGGCGATTTGTCCCTGGCCATACCCCCGGTCTCCATGGCGAATGACTCCGGCAATGGTATATCTCTCAGCACGTCTGAGGTGTTTCGAAACACGAGGCTAGCAGACACGGCACGTACAGCTGAAGAGCGGAAGAATGACCCTGTCCAGAGGTCCGAGGACGTTGATGAGGTCCAGCGTTTCGAGCTATGGAGGGAGGTCAAGGGCTCGGCAGACGGAGCCCAGACACAAATTAACCTCGCCGGGGAGCTCAGCCATGTCGCAGCCCTGTGCCGCGTCCCTGTAGGAGACATTGAGGACGTCTACCCGTGTACACCCCTCCAAGAAGGCCTCATGTCCGCCACAGCCCAGCAGCCGCACGCCTATGTCGGACGTTGGGCTTACCGCGTTCTCGACACCGTCGACCTGGCCCGTTTCAAACAGTCGTGGGGCGAGCTGGTCCGGGTGGCCCCGATTGCCAGGACGCGGATTGTTCCTGGGCGAATCTCGGGCGCTCTACAAGTCGTCGTTCGGCAGCCCTTGACCTGGCTCTCGGGCTCCAACGTTGACCAATACCTGGAAGATGATTCCGGCCAGGGAATGAGTTATGGATCGCCACTCATGCGACTGGCCATTGTCGAGTCTCCGCAAAAGGGGTGCATATTCGTCTTCACGGCCCACCACAGTGTCTACGATGGGTGGAGCTTGCTCAAGATGTTCGAAGCCGTTTCCAGGATATACTCTCTGCAGGAAGGGCCCCGGGCGCCGCCGTATTCGCACTTCATCCGCTATATCGAGGAGCGGCGTCGAGACTCGACCTCTGCCGAGTCTTTCTGGCGGTCTCAGCTGGACGGCGACGCCGGCGTGCCGTTTCCAGCACCGCCAACCCCCCCCTACCAGCCCTCCCCGTCGCAGAGCATGAGCTGCGGCATACATGTCGGGCATCTGACTGGGTCCATCACGCTGGCCTCGTTTCTTCGAGCCGCGTGGGCGTTGACAGTCTCGTCCCGGAGCGGCGACGACGTGCTCTTCGCCATGCCTCTCTCCGGACGATCGGCTCCAGTGCGAGGTGTGGCCGACATGATCGCGCCGACTATTGCCACTGTTCCTGTTCGAATCCGCATAGACCGCACCCAGCCAGTTTATGATTACCTGGTCGCCGTTCACCAACAGGCAGTCGACATGCTGCCATTCGAACATACGGGCTTGCAGCATATCCGCCGTCTCGTGGGGGCCGGCTTTGACATGCGACACATCTTTGCTGTCCAGCCCATCGGGAAGAGCCATGAGCTCATATACCGCGACATACTGGGGCTCGAGATGGTCAGATTCCCAATTAATGAGTTCTACGACTACGCTCTTACCGTCGAGTGCGAGATAGGACAGGACCTAACCGCTGTGCAGGTGGTCTGCCAGTTCGACGAGAACGTCGTTTCCGGTCGGCAGATGCGGCGCCTCCTCGGTGTATTTCAGAACGTCATCACCCAACTCGCCTTGTTCAGCAGCGGCACCGGGAACGAGTCTGTGAAAGTTGTGGGCGACGTCGAGATGGTCAGTCCCCAGGAAGTGACGCAAATGGCCCAGTGGGATCGAGAGATGCCCGAGAAAGAGCCAGCTCTTGTGCACGAGCTCGTGCGACGACACGCGCTCTCCAAACACGACGCGCCTGCTGTAAGCGCATGGGATGGCAGCCTCTCTCACGGGGAGCTGGACCGGCATTCGGAGCGGCTGGCCAACCGCCTCGTCGCCCTCGGCATCGGCCCCGAGGCCATGGTTCCCCTTTGCCTCGACAAGTCCAAGTGGGTTGTAGTCTGCATCTTCGCCATCCTCAAGGCCGGCGGTGCGGTAGTGCCGGTCAGGGCCGATCCAATCTCACGCCTCCGGGCCATTCTCAGCAACACTGGCGCCCAGGTGGTGCTGGCGAGCCCGTGCTATGCCGCACAGTTGAAAGACTTGGCACACCACGTTCTGCCAGTCGACGATGACTTCTTCTCGGATCTTCCTAGTGGTCTGAAACGGCCGCAGCAGAATGTCAGGCCGGACAATGTGGCGTTTGTCATGCACACGTCGGGTTCAACAGGGACACCCAAGGGGGTTGTTCTCGAGCACGGCGCCATTGCGACGAGCGTTCAGGTCCAAGGCGAGAAACTGGGAATCAACAGAGATACCCGCTCGCTTCAGTTTGCCAACCTGACTTTCGACATGGCCCTTCACGACATTCTTGTGCCGCTCCAGTTTGGCGGATGCGTGTGTCTGCCGTCGGAGGAGGACAAGATGAACGACTTGGCCGGTGCCATTCGAAGACTGGGCGCCAACTACCTCCTCGTGACCCCGACCGTCCTGGGCACGCTGAAACCCTCCGACTGCCCCGGGCTGCGCACCATTGTCGCCGGCGGCGAAGCCGTCCACGCTGAGCACGTGAAGCCCTGGCTGGCGCAAGCCCGCGTCTTCAGTGCCTATGGCTTGACAGAGTGCTCCATCATCTCGACAGTCGCCGAGTACAGCGGCGGCCCGACACTCAATCTTGGCCACGCAATCGCCGGCGGTGCATGGGTCGTGAATCGGGCGGATCACAACAAGCTGGTTGGGGTGGGCGCCGTAGGCGAGCTGCTCGTCGAGGGACCTCAGCTCGCCCGGGGCTACCTCCACGACCCGGACAAGACGGCGGCTTCCTTTTTATATAATCCATCTTGGTTGGATCGGTATCGTCTGCTCAAATCGAGAAGCGAAGTACGGCGTATGTATCGCACCGGAGACCTGGTCACTCAGAACGACGACGGCTCCTTCAACTACATCGGCCGAGGAGACAGCCAAGTCAAAATACGGGGCCAACGGATCGAGATTGGTGAAGTTGAGCACCATGTTTTGCGGCATGCAACAGTTGCCGATGCCATTGTCCTCTATCCCCGTCGCGGCCCCTGTCAGGGGCGTCTCCTCGGGCTGCTGACCCTGCGCGGCCTCATGACGAGCAGGGGGGAGCGTGACGCAGAGGTGCAGCCGACTACGCCAGCGCAAGTTTCCAGCGCCCTCAAAAAGGCCTCCTTGGTTCGCGAGCAGCTTCTGACGAGGGTGCCCGAGTACATGGTGCCGACTGTCTGGATCTCGCTCGCGTCCATGCCGCTGACGGCCTCGCACAAGGTCGATCGCAAGAAGCTGGTGCAGTGGATCGAGGACATGGACGCAGAGCGCTTCGACGGCTTGACGGGGCTTGACAGAGAAGGTGACGAAGGCCCCAGGGCGCCGGCAAACGAGGTGCAGCGACAGCTTCAGGCGGTGGTGGCCGAGATACTTCATCTCTCTCTCGATCAGGTCTCGCTGGGCCGCTCCTTTCTCAGCATGGGCGGCGACTCCATCACGGGAATGCAACTTGTCTCGCGATGCCGCACACGTCATGACATGTCACTTCTTCTCCGGGACGTTTTGCAGAGCGCATCCATCGCTCAGCTTGCGCTCAGAGCCACTGCCAGTGGCGAGGCCACGCCGTTCACGGACACGGCCAGCGCTCCCTTTGACCTCTCGCCGATCCAGCAGCTGTACATGCAGTCCATGGCGGCGGCTCAGGGGTCGCATGACGACGGCCAGGAAAGGTTCAACCAGAGCGTGTGCCTCGAGGCCGGGCGCCCCATCGGCTCGCAGGAACTCAGACGCGCGGCCGAGGCTCTCGTTTCGAGGCACCCAATGCTTCGTGCGCGCTTCTCCCAGACCGAGCACGGCTGGAAGCAGCACATTGAGTCCCAGGTGGACGGATCTTTCCGGCTCGGGTTCCATGGCGTGGAAAGGTCGAAGGACGCCGAAAGGGTGATTTGGTCGGCACAGCGCCGGTTGGACCTCGACAAGGGGCCCGTATTCTCGCTCGACTCGATCCGGGTAGCGGAAGACGGCAAGCAGCTCCTCTTCATCGTGGCTCACCACTTGGTCGTCGACATTGTCTCCTGGCAGATCATGATGCGCGAACTCGCCGACGCCGTCCTGCACCCATCTGTCGCCGTTCTCAAGGAACCCGTCTCGTTTCAACGTTGGACCCGGATGCTGGCCGGCCACACGCTCGAGGTTGGATCGCCGGCACAAGCCCTGCCTATCGAGACGCCGGTCACGGACGGGAGCAGCTACTGGGGAGTGGCACCCGAGAGCAACGTCTACGGCAGGCGCGTAAACGAGGGGCTTGTCGTCGAGGACGTGGCCTCGTTGCTTCTTGGCCAAAGCCCCCTGCGCACCGAGCCCGTCGAGGTTCTGCTTGCCGCCTTGTTCCACTCCTTCCACCGAGTCTTCCCCGACAGGCCGGTTCCAACCATCTTCAACGAGGGCCACGGCCGCGAGCCCTGGGGGAACTCGATGGACCTGTCCGACACTGTGGGATGGTTCACGACCATGACACCCATTCACGTGTCCGTCGACGACGACTCCAACGATATCGTAGACATACTGCGGAGAGTCAAGGACACGCGTCGAAGCATCCCCGAGCGTGGCATGGCGTACTTTGCAGCGCGCTTCCTCACCCTCGACGGGCGAGAGGCCTTTTCGTCACACGAGCGCATCGAGGTCATGTTCAACTTTAGCGGCCGCCATCAGCAGGCGCAGGATGCCGAGGGTCTGTTGCAGGTCGTGCCTTGTCCCACCGAGGCGTCCTTGTCCAACGTTGGAAGCAGCGTGCGGCGTCTCGCCCTGCTTGAGATTGACGCGGGCACCTGGGGAAACCAGCTGTCGGTCATCTTCGGCTTCCACCAGCATATGCAACGCCAGCCCGAGGTGCGGCGCTGGGTTCAGGCTTACCGCTGCTCGCTCGAGGAGCTGGCCGCGAGACTCGAGGCTCTGCCCCTGACGTTTACCCTCGCCGACTTCCCCTTACTGACGCTGACGTATAGCGAGCTCGCCCGCCTGCAGCACGAGCTTTTGCCCCAGAACGGCATTGCGAACGCGTCTGATGTCGAAGACATTTATCCCTGCTCCCCCATCCAGCAAGGTATCATCATGGGCCAGTGGAAGGACCAGTCCCGATATCAAGTCCAGTCGATATGCGAGTTCCGAGCTGCCGGGGCTCGCGCTGTCGATCCCGTCAAGTTCTCGCGCGCGTGGCAGACGGCCGTTCGCCGGCACTCGATCCTGCGCACCGTCCTCATCGAGTCGGTCTCCGAGGGGCACCTGTTCTACCAAGTCGTCCTGAAGAGCTGGGAGCCCCGCGTTGTGTGCATTCACTGCGAATCGTCCGACGATGTGGCCTCTGCCTTTGCCCGCGAGGGGCGGCCCGAGTATGCCCCAGGCGAGCCATGGCACCAGCTGATGCTATGCACGACCGCGGCCGGGCAGCTCTTTGCCCGCGTCTCATGCCACCACGCACTCATGGACGCCTCGTCCCTGCATCTCATCTTCCGCGAGCTTGCCCAGGCATATGAGGGCGTCCTGGTCGACTCGCCGGCCCCCTCGTACGGGACCTACGTCGCACTATTGCAAAAGTCTTCGGCTGCCGAATCGTTGGAGTACTGGACATCCAGGCTGGCCGATGCACGACCCTGCTTTCTGACCCCCCTTGTCACTGAATCGACGGGTCACGCGTCCCTGCGGACGTTGAAGACGGTTGTCGACGACATGCGGCCTCTTCACAGGTTCCGGGGCGAACACGGCGTGACGGTGGCCAACATGGTCCAGCTGGCCTGGGCTCTCGTAGTATCGCGATACACCGCATCAGACGATGTGGCATTTGGCTACGTGGCGAGCGGGAGAGATGTCCCCATCGCAGGTGTCAACGAGATGGCCGGCCCCCTGATCAACATGACCGTCTCGCGGATCCGCTTCTCCGTCGGGCGCTCGACGGTTGTCCAAGCCGCGCAACAGGTTCAGGAAGACTTTCTGGATGCCTACCACAACCAACGAGTTTCTCTCGGAGAGATCCTTCATGCTCTCCGTCTGTCTAGACAGGGCCTGTTCAACACCGTCGTTTCCTACACTCGACGGCCCTTCGAGGATCCCCCAACCCCCGACGGCATCATGGCGCACCCCCTTTCGGCCGAAGACCCGACCGAATTTGAGGCCAATCTTCATGTCGTGTGCGGCGAGTCCACCATGACGCTGTCGCTTCAATACTCAACCTCGTTGCTCGACGACGAGTCGGCCGGACGCCTCCAGGATAGCTTCCGACACGCACTCTTTTCCATCGCCACAAACAGCAACGTCCGCATAAACCAACTCAACATCATGGGCCCTTGCGACACGGCCCAGCTGAGCCTATCGGCAACAAATGTCACGTCTGCGCCGCAGGATACAGTTCAGCTCCACGGGAGTGCGGACGAAGAGGCGTCCAGCTCGGCGCCCCTGACGCACGCGGAGAGGCTGCTGCAGGAGCTCTGGGCCCAAGTCCTGAACTCCTCTCGAATGTTCAGGCCCAGAGATGACTTTTTCAAATCCGGAGGCGACTCCATCGCAGCAATGCGGCTTGTTTCCAAGGCACACGAAAGCAACAGCCTGTGGCTGACCGTGGCCGACATCTTTCGTCATCCCGTGCTGGGCGACCTTGCCGCTGCCGCCGACTGCAATCGCAGAAAAGACTGCTAGGCTTCGGTGAATACGACGCCATTTCTCGTTCCTGTTATATCGACACCCTCAAGGCCGCCCACGACGGGCGACCCGTGCAGGATTATCGGAGCTTCCACCCCTACGTTTACGACCTGTCGAGGCAAGGCAATAAAAGGGTCGACGCTCCTGGCGCTGCTCCCGTCCTGGACCGTCCTCGACCTCCTGAGGCATTTCCAGCAGCAGCGGATGGAGAGTCTTGCCCACGAGACGCCAGGCTTTCGCGAAAGACTTCAAAGTTGCGCCGACATGCCCGCGTCGTCGAGTCGTGCTCCAAGCAATGGCTCGTCTCACTCCAAATTGCATATATGGAGCCAGCCATCCCGTCAACCCTGGCGCAAGACTTTCTCAAAAACCTCTGCCAGATGGTGGATGTATTCATTAACGGGATGCAGCGACCCATTGATCGGATAGTTGGGCAACCGCCGTGTGACTATTCATTCTACATGCATGTCGAGTTGCGCGAAGGGGCAGACTGGATTTGCCTCCACGAAGCCAGGGCAAGGGTGGCAAATCACTATTCACGATAGATCTCTTTCCGGCAGTCCGCAAATGGCCTGCGGCATGCCAGAGTGCCGTACGTGAGACCGGGGGTTATTCTGCACAGTACGTACATGAATGTGCTCGGCTTCAGTTAGGCAGAGGTGTGCTGGATTACATTGGATGAAAGGGGTATGGATAGATGTGCGCAGTTGCAAAGTTTCGGTCTCCGTACCGCCACGCCCATGTCTCACCTCTCTTTCGACAAGCCACTTCTGGCACTCCAGCCAGGGCCGTGCGGGACTTCTATGATATGCTGGAATTGCTACTGAAAAGTACGCTGCTGGAACCACAACCGCTCGCTATTCGCTCTTGGGGAAAAGAAAACATGATCTTTGGAGCACACATAATCGAGCACAAGACAAGAAGCGTCAGCCCGAGTCTGATTCGGCGCGCCTGCGCACCATTTCAACATTCGCCGCGCTCTCCTTCGTCGTCGATACAACATGACGCCGAGATCGTCGCCCGGTCCGCCAGCCCGCCTCTGACCAGGTCGGAGCGGTGCTTATCCCTGGGTCGACAAGCCACGGCAGCCCAGAGAGCGGCGGCCGGGTGGTTAGCGAAGAACGACTTGCCATTGCTGTTGCTGCTGTCCTGAGTTGGGGGACGGCGAGCTTTATAAGTGAGGCGGCGCCGTCGGTCGTTGCCGGACGGGGCCCGTGCTGCCGGGGCCGGGTTATCGGCCGCCTTGTCCCCCGGCTTCGGCGCCGACTGCGGTTGAGCTGCGGGACTGGTAGCAGGGGGGCCGCTGCTCGGGGTCTTCGTTGTTTTTTTGCGCCAATCGAAGTTTGCGCTTTTTGCGCAGGTAATCGTGCAGGTTCCCAGCCTGCCACAAGCATACGATGAAGAGGAATAGAACCAGAGTGGGACCGCCGACCCATATCACGTACTCTTTAATTTTCTGAGAGCTCATGTTCGGAAATGGGGCTTGCGCGCTGTGGCGGATACTTGGAATGCGAGGGAAGTAGAGCAGTGCAAAGGGGAAGAGGGCCGTGGGGGATGAAGAGGAGGAGACAAGAGCCCTAGCAGGGCCCATGGCGAGCTTTTTGAGTGCATTTCTGTTCCTGTCGATTGCCTCTTCCGCTTTGTTCGGCGCGCCTCTGTACATGCTGCGTCGGCGTTGGCGGTTATGTCTTTGTAGTCGTCGTTCTTAGTCTGCCATGGGCTTTGACGCTGCAACCAGCAACTCCCGACACACGGTGTCGCTACAGTTCCAACCACACGCTCGATGCTCTTCTTCAGCCCCAGAGAGCCGCACCATCAGATTGACGGTCGGAGAAGAGTGCGCTCAGCCTGTGCGCATAGTCTCGACGAACTAACGGACGTGAAGAGATGCCAATTAACCCCCCGTGAGGACATCAGTGTATTCGCACACGGCAAGCAAAGGGCATGTATTCTGCGGAAGAAAAGCAAAGCGTGACTCTACAATGAGAGTAACTGTGACGGTCTCCGGGTCTCAGCCTTTGGCCATCGTCAACTTGGCGTTGTGCCAGGCCGGTCGTGGCGGACAAGGGCCATTCTTCGTCTCTTTGTCCCCACTCCCTACATGACGACAGACCACGCCGGTCTGTAGGTTTGCATTCAGGGATTTACCATTCTTTGACAATGGTATGTCGGTTTTGCGCCGCACGCAGCGTGTCCCAAGCTTCATTACAAGTTTCATCCGTGGTGAATGGGTCGCCCATCGTGCGGTCAAACGGTGGACACTCCTTTGGCGATGCTTTGAAGGGTGCTACCCGTGCAGACCTCATTTTTAAGAGGCTTAAGCCTTTCTGATCCATCCCGAGATATGCAACATTGAAATATGTAAGAGCAGTCTGGCGAGATGGCTGTGCAAAGGAAAAGGCACAGCTCGCTCAAAGGGTCGTGCAAGGCTCGAGCTCCGAACGTCACGATGGCTTCCCCCACCCAGACAATGTCGTCCACGCATAGTAGCAAAAGAGGACAGTTCGGCGTAAGACACTTGGCCAAGTTGCTTGTCAAGCCTCGTTCTCAGCCTCTGCATAGCAAGGCAGGGCATCTGAAAACGACTTCCAAACTCTCCTGTGTCTTTCCAGCACAGCTAACAGGGCAAGATGCTGAGGTTCCACCCAGCCGGCAGAGCCCAGGTCCTTTATTTGTTAGTGTGGCAAAGAGACAGCCCCTCCAAGGCCCCGAAAAAGAGCCAAGCTCCCGAAGCTAAACAGGAGACTCGCCCACGTTGCAGATCACTCGGCCTCGCCCCTGCGCCGGCGAGACGGGGCGCTGCTGAATACCGCCCACCCTCCTTCAGGCGGCATGAAAACTATACTGCCCCATCTACAAGGAGTTTAAGGTGCCTTGGTGCCCCTGTCTTGCCTCCGCTACAGCACAATTGGAGTGGCTGTCTTGCCTGGCCCCCCATCAGGATGCTATTTTTATCTGTGCATCTGTGTTTCTCCGCTACTCCTCCCCATAATCGCTCACTCCTCTCGCCTCTTGTCTCTGGCACTACTTATTAATACAGCCCACAAATCGGAGATAAGCTCAAGCTCCAACGGTGAGCTGGCCAGCTCGCGTGCATATGTGGCGGGGGGAGACACTTTGCCAGCGCCGCTGTCTTGGCTTTCTCTTCACTGGCTGCAGGACTTTTGGGGTGTTATGACTCTGATTATTCGTGTTGCCGAGGTTAGGGAAGCTGGGAAACTGGGAAGACACCGCGGCCGAAGAGCGCGCTTGCTAATGGTCCGATGTGCGTTGCTCTCTATGACGACACTATCTGTGAACTCTCGAGGCTTAGATTAGGAGTGAACTAGAGGAGCAGCAGTGCAATTTGAATTTCCTCACAGGTACAACCGAGACCATGGAGGGATAAAGAGAAGCCGGAATTGAGCTCACATGGCTCTATTCGTGCCGTCCTTCCGCTTCCTACACGCAGGAGCCGGACAACTGAAGTTGAGGCTCTTCACAGATAACACAGGACAGGGAGCAAAACGATTGGATGTAAACCAGCTTCCAGATTTTCCCATTCCCAGGATGCACTGCAGACAGGAGCGTACCGGAGCAGCGGAGAACGAACGGCCAACAAGCCGCCCAGAGACCGACCGATTCAGCCTCTCGAGCTATTACCCGGACACCAGACAGCTCAACACCTCTTGCTGCCGCTTAGAAACAATCCCAAGAGCGGACCAGAAGGGTGGTTTGCTGGATTCAGAAAGCGTAGAATGGAAAACGCCCCTCGCACCCTGCGGCTTTTGACTTCATCGCCAGTGCCGCCTTTGGCCTGGCTCTGGGCTATTTTTGGACGCTCCGAGTTGCCGTCCATCGGCAGCATCTTCAGTGCGAAACAGCGATCGCCCTCTCTCAAAAGTGGCCGACCAACCAGTCCGCGCGGCCAGCCATGCAAGCTCGGAAGCCTGGACGACGGACGGACAGTCCGGAATGCACCGAGGCTGGGGACGCGCAACCGCCATGCCCGTCACGCTCGTAGGCGCATTCCAGGCGAGAAATCCAAGCCGGGACGGCAACCAGGGAAAATCGATCCTTGTTGGCGCCAGCGATCGTCGAGGTCCAACCTTGATTGTCTGAGACAACATCGTCGACTGCGCCTCGTCGTCGTCCTCTGGCCTCCCTTTAAGTCCCCCTTGGCGGGTCTGGCGAGTTATGCGCAGAACAAAACCTCGTGTCTCGTCGATTGACAAAAAGTCACTCGCCCGCCATCCCATTGTTCCGTCTGGATCGCGTTCGCAGCCGCATACCGCAGCGCCCTTTTCGCCTTCGCCCTTCTTGCCGGCCGTCTCATCGTTCAACGCCCACACCCCCCCCTCGACCCCCTTTCTTCACCACCCGGACAACCGGAGACGCCGCCCCGCCACATCTGGCAACTCGTCGACGAGCAGGGACAAGGGAAGGGTAGGGGGCGTCTTGAAGAAACTCGCCGACCAAGACATGGACGCCGAGGCGCTATACTGCCCATGTCTTGCGATGCGACCTGCCACGCTCCACGGCAACGTCTTGGGTCTCTGACGCTGTCTCCGTGCCTTGGCTTGGCTTATTCGATAGCGGCGGCTGGCAGGCACGGTGGCTTTTGGCGGCGGCCGGGTGATGGGGCTGGCCACGGAAGCTATATAATTGTCTCTTGATCGCCGTCCAAGGATTGAGGGACCATCACACTCAGCTCGCACACCAGCATCGACACAAGACATCGAGGCTGCTCCAAACAACGCGCTCGTCAACAACTCTTTATCCCTGGACGCTGCGCCGGTCCTTGTGACAATCTCTTTCTCCTCGAACAGCGCTCAGTGGCCGATACTTTAGCTGCGCTAGACGAGACGACTTGAACGAGGGTGTGCTCTCGCAACAGCACCGCATCAGCACCCGCCTCCCACCACATCCCCTTTCTCTCCCACTACGCCCGCCAACATGGTCCGAACCATTGTCCTCACCGCTCTCGTGGCCGCCGTCGCCTCCGGCCTCCAGCTCGGCAACCCTGCCGCCGGCTCTTACATGGTCCGCAGGACGGCCGCCGGGGGGGCCGCAATCGCTGCAGTCGTCGCCACTAACGCACCCGAATCGGAATCGACCTCTTCCGAGGGAGACGGGGAAGACGCCGATTTCCAGGAGACTGGTATTCCCCAGGGCCGGCCCAATGAGACTGGTGGTCGGCAGGTGCAGGCCGAGCAGACTGGTGCCCGGCAGGCCCAGTCCGCGCAGACTGGCTTGGCCCGAGGCGGTGATGGCCAGTCTTTTGCGGATGACGACGACGCCGGCCAGACTAGCTTCGCCGATGACAGCGCGCCTACCAAGACCGGCCTGTCAGGCAACAACTCGCCCATCGAGACGGGCTTTCCCGACGATGGCTCTGGCGCTGATCAGACCGGCTTCCCTGAGGACGGCTTCTCCGGGCAAACTGGCAACCCTCCTGGTGTCGCGGCCCCCACGGGAGGCACTGGCGCCCGGAACACGGACACGCCAGTCCTTATCAGCGAGGGGCTCGCCCGCCCCGTCGGCCGCGTTACGGTATTGCTCGGCCTCGGCGCCGTGGCCCTTGCCATCGGTCTTTCGTGAGCGGAACACACACCGGGGATGGGTGAGACTTGGGGTGCGAGAAAAGGTCGAGATCCGGCATCAAGGACTCGTGCCACGTAATTAGATTGTCAACGACATGAGAAGCCTGGGCGGAGGCATGGCAGGAAGGGAGCAACATGACGTGGACTCGGCTCGCGTCAACGAATCCGCGAGGCCGAGCAGCAGCATTAGTGAAACGGTCTGATGAGTATGAGCCTGTACGAAGTCCTCTGGCAAGGCATGGCGGCAACAAATCACGTAATGTTAGCTTTCTTTATTAGTAGCAGTCTGGTAGTGTTATTGTCAACGAGTCCAAACGCATCGTCCCAATTTCCGTTCGTTTTAGGATCAAGTGTCCGATACCTGCCTGAGTCGACTGAGAGCAGCATCTTCGTCTCTCTTCATCTCGTCTGCCGTCTCTTCGCTCATGCTATGCTCGGGGCGTCCGTCAGGGGCACGTATCGCACGCCGAACAGTCGCTCCTTGGAGACGTTGCCCGAATCGTCCTTGGCAATGCGCCATATGTGCTGCGAGTAGCCGTCCCGGTCATCGTCTACGGGGATGAATATGCTGCGGCACAGACAATAGCGTCCGTCAATGCTCCGAAACAGATTCGAGACCCTGTCTCTTGTCGAGCGAGAAAAGGGGGGGCAGGGGGAGCGAGCTGACATACCAGCCCGGGGACTTGAGCTGGTCAAGCAACTGCGGGTGCACCTCGCTGGCCGACGCTCCCACATGTATCACATCCCAGCCAGTGCCGTAGGCCTCCTCGCCCTGCCTCGCGTCCTCGCAAAGGCCGAGGCGACCGTCGCCCAGCCTGAAGCGCACCCTGCCGCTGTCCAGCAGGCGGGCGCCCTCGGGGCTCTTGCGCATGTTGGCGGCGCCGAGGTCGCGCAGCTCGGGGATGTGCTCGAGGCCGACGACGAGGCCGCGCTCGCCGACCAGCTCGGCCAGCAGGTGCGTCAGGTAGCCGGAGCCGGAGCCGACATCGAGGACGCGCGGGGCGGGCGAGGCGGGCGAGGCGGGCAGCAGGCGCGGCAGCAGGTGCTCGACGGCCGAGGCGTGCATGTGCGGGGCCGAGATGGTGGCGGCGTGGCCGATGGGCTGGGGCGAGTCCTCGTAGGGGCAGGCGGGTGCGTAGTGGGCGCGGTCGACGCGCAAGAAGGCCTCCTTGACCGACGGGTCAGTGATGAGGCCGTGGCGCCACATGTTGTCGACGAGGGCGGCGTTGGAGGCGCCCGAGCAGCGCCAGGCCATGCTGGAGGCGGGTCGTCGCACGACGAGAGGGAGCGGCGGACAGAGAGGCGAGCAGCGGCGGGAGAGACGACGAGCGAACGCGGCCCCGGGAAGTGTGGTGAGGGACGCCAGGGCAGCAGCCTTCGGGGCAGCCGATGGGCTCGGCGAGCAGCAGAGCAGAGGGCGAGGAGACGGTGTCGACGCCAGCCAACCGGCAGCTACGAGGTGGTCGGTCAGCCCTCAAGCCGACGGACGGCATGCGGAGCAGCAGCAAGGTCGGTCGGGCCCAAAGGTGTCGTGACGGTTGTTGTCGCGACGGTAGCAAGACGTCAGGGCGACGGCGGTGACGAGTCACGGCCGGGGGGCAGAAAGGGCGGAGGGGGAGACCATGTCGTCGTCCAGGCACTGTAATTACTGTTCGGGCGTACCCGTTGATCTTGGTGTGGGGCCACAGCAGCCCAACTAAGTGTCTTCGCCACTTAGTTGGCCCAAAAAATCCGGCACAGCCCAAAAAATCCGGCACAGCAGGGTCCTCAATTTGGGGTGCAAAATCAAGGGAAATTCTACGCTTCGCTTCATGGTGCCGTCAATGCGACTTCAAATAGCTAAAATATACATGTGATCAATAGCTGCGGATCACCTAAAGACGCAAGTAACAACGAAAAGTGAAAAAATCACGTCTTTGGGCCTATTTAGGAGCTGCCGCCTTCCAGTCGAAGAGATAGGAAGACCGCGTTTGTGAGTCCAAATAGACGTATTATGTAGTAATTTCGCCTGTTGTGCGTCTCTGAGAGCTATTTTATCCATACCTGTGTTCCTGGAGCGTCTGCTGTATCTTGTTGGACGATCGGGTGCGCGGTCGAGGGCATGGTGTATCGACTACCGCTTCAACCGCTGCTAACGGCGGCGATGAGGGTATATTCTCTTGCGTGTCGAGTAAATTGTCCTCGTCTTCATCGTCGGCGCCATCCTCACTATGTTTGTCAAGATCGAGGCCTGTGAAATAGACGGTATCGTCACTGCCGGGCAACGACGACATATCTGTAAGTGGGCGAGGTCGGGTCGCTGCGCGCGCCTGACATCTCTGGCGGAGTTATTTCTCTTCGTGGTATCATAGAAAAGGATTCCTTGGATGGCTCTTTGAGCTCCCGCATGAGGGTATCGCAACTTTGCTCCAGAGTGTAGAACTCAACGTCTCGTCCCGTAAACTCTAGCCAGGGCTTAAAGTTCAATGTCTTGACTCTGCCATTGACTAACTGCTTCTTCCCGACTTTATAGTCTTCTCGGATCTTCTGCATCTCTCCACGAACTCGTTTAAGATGCATCCTTATCTCCTGGCGCGTTTGAAGCCGGGTTTGCTTTGCCTGGAGCTCCTCATACTCCCGGGTGATGTCGGCCATGCTGGAGCTCGTGATAAACTCTCCGCGCGGCCTGACAATCTTGCCTCTCTTCATTCGATTCGCATACGCCTGGGTTCGGCTATTCTTATCGCTGACTATGCCCTGGGAATGTGACGCCATCGCGATAGACTCGGTGTTCACTTTCGCAAGAACCCGCAAGTTTTCTCGTGATGGCGAGCTCATGAGGGGCCCATACCGTTGCCGGATATCATTGAGGGCATCCGCGGCGACTTGGAAACGCGTCTCCGAGGGTAGGAGCGAGGCGTATGCAGGATTGATCGGCTGCTGTTGTCGTAGCTGCTCGTGGAGGATCTTGGTGATCACCGGCGCTGGGTCGACAGGAAAGAGGCCTGTTTTTCAAATGCCGCCATAATGTTATGCCGCGTGAAGCCAGCCTCATATACGTCCTGAAAAGCTGTGAGGAAGTTGACCCGCGAAAATGATATGTTGCCTTCTGCGAGCGACTTCCAAGCGCTTTCTGATGTGCTGACTTTAGTGGCTGGAATACCCCAACATCAAGCGGCTGCATGAGGTGGGTGGAATGTGGAGGAAAATAGCAATGATGATATCAAACTTGATACAATACTCAGCAAAGTCAAGGGTGGTATGCCCTGTAAAGCCATCCACAACAAGCAATCGGTAGATCTTCTCGTCGTCAGGCCGTTGGTTTGGCGGCGCCTCCACGCGACTCATCCCCATGTTGGGGCGCCGAAGATGCTCGTCACAGCCGAACCACTCTTCCAGCGAATTTCCTGACTGTTTTGCTTGCGCTGACGATGCCCAAGACCAGCAGTTGAAATGCCTTGCCCACTCAAGGTGTATCTCTGCGTTGGAAAAGCCAGTTGGCGACTGGGCAAACCGTACGCCTGTCATGATGTCGATGCCGGCCCAGTTGGTGGTAGGGTAATGTTGGAAAACAAGCCAGGGTGGAAGAGAGTCCCCCACTGCGTTAACTGAGGCAATTACCGTGCAGGATTCTCGGTTTGCTGGGTCTAAAACTCGGGGCCGGGTGCTCTTGACTCTAGTGGTGCGCGTGATGAGAACTTGGATGCGTTCTCGCAGGCACCCAATGCGTATTCCGGCCTCGTCTTCATTCCAGATCTCTGAACTGCCAATACGGTAGCTGGTGATGATTTCTCGAAGCTTTGAGTAGAAAAATTCGACTTCTTCTACCCCGTGGGCTTCAAAGGACTTCCGGGCTCGTTCAACTGCTTTGAGATACGTCTTCGCGATCGCAGGATGACTTCCACGCCAATTGTCAAGCCAACTTGACGAGACCGGGCGGGCATTGGGATCTCGACGCATTCTTATTGCATTTGCAACAGCTTCAAGTTGCTCTCTCGTGGCGGGCATGCCGGTGCGTTCCATCCACTGTACATACGCAACCAGGGCGTCGTCTTCGTCCTCCGTCAGCGCCAATGGACGCCCTGGAGCACGGGAAAAGGGGTTTCTTATGAAATTAATGGCTCTCTGTACGGATGAGCTCTTCACATTGTAACGGATGGCCGCATCTCGCACGGAAAGAGGCGTTCTTTTTGGTGTTGTTGAGCGACGAACATCGGCTCTGGGGTCGCGACGAGACGCCAGAACGGCTTTTGCTGCCTCCAGGGTAGCCATGTTATCTGTCATAATGTATTCCGGCAAAAAAGATACGTAAATAAAGTCAAGTTGCGCGAGAAAACGCGGTTGAGATGCATAGGGTTGACGTTTTGGAGGTGGGCTGCTGTGCCGGATTTTTTGGGCTGTGCCGGATTTTTTGGGCCAACTAAGTGGCGAAGACACTTAGTTGGGCTGCTGTGGCCCCACACCAAGATCAACGGGTAATTAGTATTAGGCGTGCTCCTTCTTGTACGCCCCGACTTCTTCGTTGGCGCATGCATGACACGGTCCGGACGTCCTGTCCAAGCCTCAGTCAGTCCTTTGGCGCACATCACATCGGCGGCGAACCCCCCGGTTCTCTGCTTTCTCCTCCTGGGTGGACCCTCGACTTCCAGAAGCAGACCCGCCGCACGGCTATAAACTATAAAGCGAGTCAACGTCATTGCATGCTCTTGTCAGGTCAATAACACCCCACACGGGGGTGCCCCTATTTTGCCTGCTGTGGCGGTATTTTCCCAGCTCGCCAACTCTCCAAGTTACGTGACGGGGGGGGGAAGGCTCGACGCAGAGATTCCGCTCACTTCCAGGCCGACTCATGCGCGATACAGCCCTCTGCTCTCTCATCTGCCCTCGAGTCAGCCAAAAGCCGCTGCTACTGGCCGAGCTCGAAGATTGCACCTTGCGCCTGTTGCATTTCCCAGCTCTTTATTCTTCGATCCTCGGCAGTGTTGAGCATTCTGTCAGACCCCTTTCATCCTCCTGTGTGCCGTTTGTATCCTCCTGGTGCCCAAAGTCCGCCTCACTCAATTCGTCGCTGGCCATTCTCCTTTAGGGAACCGCGGGCGCTACAGGCGGTTAACGGGGGCGTATACCTACATGTAAGTTAAGCTTTTCATGCGCCCGCATATGAAGCGTGTAATTCTCATGGAAGGGGGGGGGGCAACTGAAACTAGAACTATTCATGCTATGCGAAGTATATTCGCATCGTCTACGGCCAGACATAAGTAACGAGCCTTTGTCAGTCTTTTTATCCATCAACATTCGCTCCGAGTCTGCTTTTTCCCATCGGCTACCGCCCCGTGAGTTCAACAAGTCGGACACCCGAGTCCAGCACGTTCAACATATCCATCTCCTTCTTCTCGTCACCATATTAGCCACCATGAAGTATTCCCTTGTCTTCGCGGCTTTCATCAGTCTTGCTCTCGCGTCTTCGCTAGGTTCAGGTAAAGACGCGCCGCCCATTGCCCTACAATCGATGCATCAGCTAACAAACGGCCTGCTGCACAAGGTGCCACTGAGGGAGGAGCATTGCATCAGCCTCGGGGCAATTCTGCCGCCGCCCTAGGAGCTGGCGGTATCGTCAATGAAAATTCCGGCCCCGTTTCGAGGAGGGACGACAGTCTGGAGGCAGCGCTCAAGTCTATACGAGCGCGAGGCTCCAAGTCAGTGGGCAAGGACAAGACCAAGACTAAATCGAACCAAAAACGGGGTATTCGGGCAAAGCCCAAGCGTAACACTAGGTCAACCCATCCCCATAAATAGGGAGAGCTTGAAAGGCGGGGGCGCATCAGTTGACGTCGGTGACGGGCCTCGGTATGGGTGAGAAGACGAGAACAGGACAGGATGGAGGCCAGGATGAAGGCGGGGAAGGCGGAGACGAAAGGGAGTCGCTGCCCGTGGCAGTTAGATGGGTCGCTCACAGCGCTACGAGCTACGAGCTACGAGCTGCTCTAATAAACTCTTTTGATCTATATTCTATGCAATGAGAGATTGGCCCGGCAGCAACATCACTGGCGGCGAAAACGTCTGTGTGCAAAGCTATGGTGAGGAATATATTTTTGCCGCATGGCTTAGCATTGCTGCGACGCTGATCGTGGCTTCGGTGCAGCAACTCGCAGCGCTTCAGGGGCTCCTTGTCACGCCGCTCGCGCGATATCTCGGCGACGTTAGCTTTTCAGTTTATCTCGTTCACGTACCCGTCATCCATACACTAAGCCCTATGTGCATGCCGTATATACGGGA